ACCCTGTCCCCCTTCCTGGCCAACAGCCCCTTTCCGGGGAAGCCGTGAGGCAGGGCTCAAGGCAGGAATCTGTGGCCCGACCCCCACCAGGCCATGCACCCTCTGCTCCCCACAGATTGTTTGGCTGCTCTCAAACCTGGGCGGCCAGTTTGGCTTCTGGATGGGGGGCTCGGTGCTGTGCCTCATTGAATTCGGAGAGATCCTCATCGACTTTGTGTGGATCACCATCATCAAGCTGGTGGCCTTCGCCAAGAGCCTGCGGCAGAGGCGGGCCCAGGCTCGCTATGCTGGCCCGCCGCCCACCGTGGCTGAGCTGGTGGAGGCTCACACCAACTTTGGCTTCCAGCCTGATGTGGCCAGGCCTGGCCCCGACCCTGGGACCTACCCTGATGAGCAGACCCTGCCCATCCCGGGCACCCCACCTCCCAACTATGACTCCCTCCGTCTGCAGCCGCTGGACGTCATCGAGTCTGACAGTGAGGGCGATGCCATCTAGACCCAAGAAGCCGACATCATGGCCCCAGGCTTCACTCTGGGGTGCTCTCTCCAAAGGGCCAGGATGATGGGAATCTGAGGCCACAGTCTATGTGTGTCCCTCAACAGAGAGACCAGCAGCTCCTGGCCAGTCCCAGGCCAAGGGCTCTGTAGGGTCACGGTGTGGGTACAGATGTGGGTAATGTGTACTCATTTGGTTCCTGTCCACATCCCCAACCTGACCTGATCCTTGGCTGGGACGTCCCCAGCTTGGCTCCAGAGACCCTGGAACACTGTCCTCTGCAAACAGGCTAGTTTTTTCCCAGTGCCACTCACCGTCTGCTCCCGAGACAAACAGCTGGTCATGCTGTGCTGTCTGTCCTCAGAATGTTTTCTGTCCTGGCCTTGGCTGACCTCTGCCAATGGGTTTAGTGAAGGCAGCAACTGTGGAGAGCAGGAAGAGCATCAGGCCCAGGGGCGGGGTGGGGGGGCCTGCTGCCAGGTGGCCTGAGTTTTGTTCTAGAAAATAAAAGTAGAACACATAGAGCTGAGCTTTGTTCTTTGTCGGATGGGGCAGTTGGAGTGCGGGTGCACAAGTGGGCTTGTGACTTACTCAGTGCCATCCACCGTACTACTTTGGGTTGCAAGGACAGAGACAAATAGTAAGACTCAAGCTGGCTTAAGTGAAAGAATCTCAAGCAGCTCAAATAGTGTCTCTCGGGCTCTGCTTTCCTCGGGCTCTCCTCACACTGAAAGCCCGCCTGTGAGTCCAAACTCACCGTGTCTCCAGCTCAGCAAACATCTAGGAGAAGTACCTCTTCCCCAGTTGTCTCTGCAAGTTCCCAGGCTGACTCTCACTGGTCACTGATTGGGTCACATGCATATCTCTGAACCAATCAGTGTGATAGGCTGCTTGGATTGGTCAGACCCTGCCCATACCTGAGGCCAGGTGACCCCCAGCAGAATCACATGGCCCCCGGGGGGTAGGGACATGGCTCCAAGCATTGCCAGATAAAATACAGGCCCTCAAGTTAAATATGAATTTCAGATAAACAACGAATTGATTTTTTAGTATCAGTACATCTGCGTAATATTTGGGACGGGTGTCTGGGTGGCTCAGTAGGTTGAGCGACCAACTCTTGATTTCGGCTCAGGTCATGGTCTAAGAGTCGTGAGACTGAGCCCTGTATGGGGCTCCTCTCTCAGTGTGGAGTCTGCTTCAGATTCTCTCTCCTTCTCCCTCTGTCCCTCCCCCACCCATGCATGCATGTGCGCTTGCTCTCTAAACAAAAATGTTTTTAAAATTAAGAGGTATCTGGGACACATTACGTTAATAAAATCATTTGTTGTTTTTCTGAAATTCAAATTTAACGGAGTGTCCTGTAGTTTTAGTTGCTAAGTATGGGAACCCTGATGGCTCTCCAAAGAGAGACCAGGGAGCTGTTTCCAAAGAAGAATGGGGCCTGCCAGGTGCAGGGAGCTGACCACCTGCCTGCCCCAGTAGCGAAGCAGCTCTGACTGTAGAGCCTGGATGTCCGAGGGCCCAGCCCTGCTGGCAGAGAACACCTGGGTCCTTGGCTGGAAAGGCAAACAAGCAGGCCTCCCATTAAGTGCCCACAGTGGCACCTGTGGGGGAAGGCGGTGCCACAGACTTGGTGCCACTCCAGCCAAAGGCAGCACTGGGAGGAATTGTGTGGGGAGGGCCTGGGGGAAGAGGGTTTCCCAGCTCAGGGTCAGGCGGGTCTGCAGGCTGGAGTCCAGTTCTTGGTGGTTACAATAACTCCCATGACTACTACTTTTATTATTAGTGATAGTTGTCATCACACTATTATTAGTTGTTGCTATCACCAAACAATGGCTACATTGTATCAAACACTTAACACACACTTATCAGGCCAAGTACTTTGCAAGTCTTTTTCCAATTAATTCTCAGAATGACTGAGAAGTATTACCATCCCATCTTAAGGGTAAGTAAGTTGAGACTCAGAGAGGTGAAGTCATATGCTCCAGGTCACTCTTCCAGTAAGTGATGAAGGTAAAACTCCAGCCTCATCCCCTGGCTGCCGGTGGTCACAAGAATACCAGTCCCAGAGAGGGGCGCCTGGGTGGCTCAGTCGTTAAGTGTCTGCCTTCGGTTCAGGTCGTGATCCCAGGGACCTGGGATCGAGCCCCACGTCAGGCTCCCTGCTCAGCAGGAAGCCTGCTTCTCCCTCTCCCACTCCCCCTGCTTGTGTTCCCTCTCTGGCTGTCTCTATCAAATAAATAAAATCTTTAAAAAAAAAAAAAAAAGAATACCAGTCCCTTATAGGAGCCCAGAGCTTTCACATTTATGGTCTCATCTGAAGCTGTGGGGCAGGCAGAGCAAAGGTTATTAGCAAGCTCCCTTTGCCAGCTCCTTGGTCACACTAATTCGAGCTGACTTAAGCTAAAAAAGGGAATCCATTGGTTCTTGTAATAAAAGTCCAGGGATTTCAGGTATAGCTGTATCCAGGGGTTCATAGATCTGGTGATTTCCCCAGCTCTGAGCTTTCTTTTCTTCCATATTGATGTCCCTCTCAAATAGGTTCCCTTCATGTACTGCTCTTCACCCCACAGCTCCAAGCTCCATTCCCTCAGCCCAGCAACTATAGAGTGGGAAGAAAGCTCCTCCCTCACAGTGTCCCAGCAAAAGCCCCGAGAATGAGGGTCACTGAATCAGCCCAGGCCACATATTCATCCTGAACTGGGAGAGGCATTTGAAGCAGGAGTGGGAAGGGGGCACTTGTGACCCCCGCTGTACCTCACTGGCTCTTCAAATAACCCTGATTAGGTTCCACTGTGGCTTCTGTTTTTCACAAGAGGAAATGAGGCTAAGAGAGGTGAAGCGACTTCCCCAAGGTCACACAGTCGGGAGGTGGCGAAGCCAGGAATCAAACAGCTCTCCTGGACACCGGCACAAAGGTCACCCCAAAGAGGTTTCCACTTTCCACAGCACATTCCGCCTTCCAGGTTTCCGGCTCTCACTTCTTCAAGGCAGGAGCCAGGCTCGATCCCTGCCAGGGACAGCCCGTGATCCACGGCATGAGAAACCAAAATATTTTTCTTGGTGCGGGTTCTTTCGGGCCAGCAAAACTGGTTCCAAGGATGTGGAGACAGAACGTGTGGGAACCCCTGGATGACAAGGCCAGCACGACACCGGCCCCGGCAGCCTGCAGGGGCTGGTTCCCGAGAGGCCGTGGGCACGGCAGTGCCACTCTGGAGGGCCAGCACGAGCCGGCTCTCCGGGGCGGGATTAGGTGTCGTGCACTCACCTCACGCCCCGCGGTCAGGAGCGCGGGAGCCGTGGGCACCAGTGACTCCGGGCAAGCCCCTAAACCTCCCACACCTCAGGTTCCTTTGTGTGTAAGATGGGAATAATCCCTGAGGCCGTTGAAAGGCATCAGAGAGAGAAGTAAGGCTTACGCAGCAGCAGGAACACACAGACACATCAATTCCAATAAAGGACCCTTCAGACACGGTGGCGCCCCCCTTCTCCCTTGCTAACAGAAACCCAGCCTGTTCACGGCACCAGTGCGCCGGGCCCAGGCAATAAATCCTGCCTGGTCTACACCAGGGTTTCCGTGCTGGAGGGGAGTCTGGCCCCCGGGCAAGGTCTGGAGACCTTTCTGGCTGTCCCAGCTGGGGAGTGCCACCGGCATCCAGTGGACAGAGGTCAGGGATACCACTGAATGCCCATCGACCAGCCTGCTGAAGACGACAGGAGTGCGGAGGCTGAGAACTCCAAATGGAGGCAGTCCTGTTCCCCACGCTCCCAGCCTCGCTTGCAGCTGGGAGGATGCCGGTGACCAAGAACTGGCCAGGGAGACCGAGGAGAAAGCCACGGGGGCCCCTGGAGAGCCCTTTGCCTGCAGGGTGGAAGGGACAGCGCCCCCTCTTCCTTCGTCCCCCCGAATGCCGTGTGATGGCTGCAGCTGCAAGAGTCACCCCACCGGGAGGAAGCAGCCAGCACACGCAGAAAAGGTCAAGATCACAGGGAGGCTGGTCCTGGTCCTGACTCCTCCAGCCACTGAGTCAGTGCCCACAGCCGGGACCGTGGGACTTCTCGATCTTGAGAAAGCTCAACTCCTATTTGCTTGAGTCACTCAAATTACATTATTCTGTTCATCTTAACAGATAAGAGAAGCTACGGGCAAAAAAACCTGATAGAGTCCACATCATCCCGTGAGCTGTCAAATAAGAGAAAGTAAAAGCCTGAGTCCTCATCATGGCCGACGGGCTGGTCAGTGATCTGGCCCCCAGCTCCCCTCTGACCTGATTTCCTACTTCCATGCTGCTGACCTTGGACGTGCCCCAGGGCCTGGTCCGCGCTGGTCCCTCACTGCCATGCATGGCTCTGATCTGTGGGTCCGGGGGCTGCCCTCCACCCTGATGGCACCATCCGACATCATCTTCTTTGTTGGTTTCTCTGGTGATTCTCCCCCTCCTTCCCGGCCCGTGTCCCAGTGCGTGGAGCATGGCTCATGGGAGGCACCCAAATATTCACTGAGCAAAGGAAAGAAAACAGCCTTCTTTCATTTCACGGTATTTATCAATTCCCTTTTCAAGATCGGATCATTTAGAAAATCATCTGAAAATTCTGCTCTAATAAATAATATGCCTCTAATTTACAACCCCCGCAACCGTTTTTTTGATTATACAAATGAACCAAGTCTTTTGGAAATGAATCCTCCCAACCCCAGGCAGAATTTTTGAGCAAATCCATTCTGGAGATCTGCTGTGACCCATGAACCCCAGCCCTAGGCCTCTTCTCAACCAGGTGCAGGGATGGGGGGAGGCGGTCAGTAGTCCACGTTCCGCATGTTAGCCACTGTGGTGGCCAGGCGCCGGGGCAGGCCTTTGCTGACCTGCCTGTAGTCCTCAGGTTTGGTCTTCAAGAGTGTCACGATGTTCTGAAGGGTGCGGGATGGCTGCAGGCCCAGAGCATCCATCACGTTGATCAGGTAGTCTGTAGGGATGGGGAGCAGACAGACACAGCTCAAAAGACTGAGCGCCAAGCGGGACAGAGAAATAGAGAAGTCCACCCCGAACCCCAAAATGCCAGTTGCCTGCTCTGCCCCAAGCAGCCGGGCCTTTACTCCGGGTCCCGGGGCCGCCAGTGACGGAGCCAGGCCTGGAATCCAGGTGTCCTGACTTCACAGTCAGCTCTCAGCCGTTAGAGAGGAAGGCCAGCTTTGACCACGTCATTGGGCCGTGTTCGGGGAGGAAGGATGAGGAGATTCGGGGGCCTGTAGGTGGTGCCTGCTAGTACAGGGGCAGGAGTACTACTTACTTTTCCAAGAGGATTAAACCTACTGTCAGCTTAGGGGCGCCTGGGTGGCTCAACTGGTTGAGCGTCCAACTCTTGATTTCAGCTCAGGTCATGATCTCAGGGTCATGAGATCAAGCCCTGCATCAGGCTCCACGCTCAGCACAGAGTCTGCCTGGGATTCTTTTTCTCCCTCTCCCTCTGCCCCTCCTCCCTGCTTGCATGTGCTTGCTCTCACTCTCTCTTTCAAATAAATAAA